CGAAGTTTTAGAGCTAAGTGAGCTGCTTTATTACAGATTAAAATTCGATTGAAAAGAATCTTTACTAATTTTCTAATCGATAGAATCTCTCGAACTTTAATTCTTTGTGATGTAGATTCTTAATCCGAAGATCCTGCGATATTATTGGTTCTGAGCCTGCGATTGTCATTTGATATATGACTAAAAATGGTTTTTCGGCATGTTTTTTTTGTCCGTGATATAATGAACAGTGTTGGCATTTGAACCAATTAAATAATATGGGACATAGTCATTTTCAATTGGACATATTCATTTGGACTATGTCCATATTTTTGATACTGGATATAAATGAAATTTTTGGTATCTACTAACAATTTATTTTTAAAATGTCGCAAGGAATGCAAGAAATTCTATTTAAATCGAAGGAGAAACATCGGAAGAGTTGGAAAAAAGATTCAAGAAGTTCTGTGGCAAGTATTTGAGAAGCATTGTGCTGTTATTGATCTTGTCGGGTAAGTTAGCTTATTGAATAATATATCTAGTTATTATGTATCTACAGTTACGCTATCACATTGATGTAAATTATCTGAGGATTGAAAGCACATCGTGGCTACTGTTTCGGCAGTGAACATTCTTCTCAGTTATCAATGTTCGGAAATGGAGCAGCCCTACTGGATTTAATGATGAATAGGATACATGCTGGCTCCAGCTTTATATAACGATAAAATATATATTCATTAATTTATTAATTTATAGGAAAAGTGGAAATCTGGGACGAGACATTATTATAACAATTTTTGGGATGAAGATCGTTGTTCAGTGCAAAGCGTGGTATTCAAAAGAAATAGGTATGTTAATTACTAATCACAAAAACAACAATTATCAATGTAACAATTAACAATTAATTTGTTTATAGGTCAGGATAAAATCGATAAGTTTAGAACAGTGGTGTTGGACGGGAGGTACGCATTCGGGGTTTATGTAGGAGCGATGAAAGGAAAATTTGCGAATGGAGCGTATAAATTGGCTAAAAGGTCAGGAGGCGGTATTCTATCACCGTGTATAATATAATGTATCGAGATTTAGTGAGATTTATCGTAGAATGATTTTATGAACATATTCATGTATTAGAAAATAGAAATAGATTATTTATATTAGACTGTAATGTAATGTTTTATTCGTTCTCTATCACTTTTGTAATTTTAACTTATGTATTATTATATTTTAGAAATTTATAATACTATCACATTCTGACCTTTCATCTATTGTATTTAGATTTTTACTTTTCTTTATCTTTCTTTTTTCTCTTTTTTTCTTTTTATTCATTTCTTTTTTCTTTCTTTTTTTTTCTTTTATAATTATTCTCTTTTCCTTTTCTATTAATAAAAAATTTTTTGCTAATGCACATTGTGAAAGGGTAAATTGTGGGTTGAGATATGGGCATTTTTTTGAGATCATATTTAACTTACGAAACTGTTAATGTAACTTTACATTTTCATATTACAAAAGTTTTGCCAGCACTAATTGTATCATAATTAATTTTGGAAAATAAACTGGGTTTAAATAATAAAATTTATTATTTATTAAATACAAAATAGAAAGTTGGAGAATATAGCCTAATTAAAATCTCGATATAGTGAAACTATTTGAAATCTTGATATATGGAGGCCTAATTAAAATCTTGATAAGGTGAAGCTTAATTAAAATCTTGATATTAAGAAGGGAAGCATTATGTTTACCAGAGTTACTAATTAATACCAAAGTTATGTTTACCAGAGTTACGAATTAATTCTGCCAAAATTATGCTTACCAAAATTACATTTATCAGAGTTACAAATTAATTCTACCAAATTTACAATTATGTTTACCAGAGTTACGAATTAATTCTATCAAAATTATGTTTACCAGAGTTATAAATTGAATACTACCAACATTATGATTACATTTGTATAGTGATTTATTTGGGCTAGGTTGCAAAATAGCACAAGTAGCTACTGAAAAATGCCGATTTGATATGCTAGATACCTTCAATCAGATATTAGAAGAATTATATAAAACTGATGAAAGTATAGATAAAACAAATAGAAGTACAAATGAATTAGGCCAAAGAACAATCAATAACCCGTATATAGTTAAGTCTAAAGGAAGACCACAGAATAAAAGATTTAAAAGCTTTGTTAAAATGTCTCAAACTTTTAAGAATAGTAGTTCAGGCAGTAATGTATGTAGTAATTGTAATTCAACCAACCATATTATTAGACGATGC